CGGAGGGTCGCGGTGGGTCTGTTTCTGGCGGGGATATTTTGATGGATTCAGAAGTCAGAGGGGCGGCGAATGGATTCCGTTTCCTGCTGTCCTTCGGGCGGGTGGGCACCGGAGCTCCTGGCCGGGGCTGGGAGCTGAACGGAAGAGTTCGACATTTGAGCTCTTTATTGAGGCGGGGGGAGGTTTCCCTGGCTTTCCCTCTGGGGGGACTAGAAAGTAGTTTCTCCTTCAGAGCTCGTTTCCAGCCAAGGTGGACATTGGAAGGGCAGATTGTTGAAACAAGTTACTGGTGGTTCCCTGGAGGAAGGAGCTTTCTGGGTGTAAGAGAAGGCCAGCTGGGCCCCTCGCCTGCCCCGCGCATCTTCGGAGATGGGGGTGGGGGCGGTGTTCAGGCCATCCTACAAACAGCAAATTAATGCGAACTTTAAAAGTGACATTTTCTGGGCTACTCAGATTGTACCCAGACCCAATTGCTTAAGTGGGTCTTCAGCTGTACGCCTTCCTTTTGCTCTTGCTCTGCTCCCTTTCATTCGCCAGTGCGCCTTTCCCTCTGCAATTCAGAAATCGCCAGTGGTTTTCCCCCACAAAAAAGCCTTTTTCCTTTTCATCTTGACGCTGGCACGCCGCAAAACACGACACCGCCCCCCCCCTCCGAATAGGTTTCCAACCGAGGTGTAGCCGTAACTGTCCTCCATATGATCCATCAAGGTGCGATCAATATAACTGGACCAGAAACGTGTCTATACTCAGAGCAGAGAGATCATACATGAAAGAGACGTGGAACTCTAGCTGCGCAGTGTACACAGACCACGCACACGTGTGTGCGATGTAGTCACACTCCTAGCAAAGGGCGACCCAAGCATAACGAGCGTGCCTGGGATTCACAGAAAGCGGGTCGATTTGAAAATCCCGGCGAACTTTGTTGCTGGGAAATTCAAAACGTCAAAGCCCCAGCCTAGGTCACCTCCTTTTGCGGGCAGTGCGGGGGCTGCCTGCTTGCGTGTGTCCACACACAGCTCTGTGGAGAAATCCTCGTGGCGGGGTGGCTCCAGGCTCATCCTTTGCTTCCTCGCCTCAAATTCAAAGATTTGAAAATAGGGGGTGAAAATGGTGTGTGTGTGTGTATTTGTGTGTGTGTTTGTGTGTGTGTGTGTGAGAGAGAGAGACAGAGAGAGAGAGATGAGGGTGAACTGCACCAGGGGTCCTGGAATTCCCACCCAGGGGCACTGCAGATTGACTGCCACTGCCTGGCTAGTTCCAGAATCACGTCTCTTTCTTCTTTCCCACCCCCCTATGGGCAGCTGCCCAGCCCAGTTGGGCCCCTGCCCCAGGGACTGAGACCCTAAGGACGTAGTACTAACCAAAGGAGACCCTCTCCTATAGGAATCCTGAGCCTTACTTACGGAGGTCCATTTAGTGATCGCAGCGAGTTATAGGAAGAAACCCCCCCCACAATTAGCCCCTCAATTAGCCTTCAAATAAAGGTGCGAATTCCCACCCCTCTTCCGTTTTTAATGGCTGGTAAGTTCAAGATCATCTTTCTACCTACCTTGATGACTTATTAATTTGTTGAGGGGAACAAAACAAACAAAAAACACTGGTCTGAATTTTGGCCAAACGCCGTGGCGCATCACATGGGAGGTTGCAAGGGCGCCTCTTGGCTTGGGCCTCTTCCCCAGACCTCCCCCCAAGGGGAGCGATCAGCCGCGGAAGATATTTATCTCCCGGTGTTTTAAGGGGTGCCTTTGCCTGTCCGTCCATGGATTGCCAAGGCTCCAACTCTCTCGGCTGGCCACTGTGACATTTTTGTGCGGCGGCTGGCAGCGCAAACCATGCGCCGGTCAAACCCTCCCTGATGCCTTGGTTGTTTCGTGTGGACAGTAACCCCTCTGCCCTCCCTAGACACGACTCTGGGTTTATGAGCCAAGGCGAGTGAGGAGGGGGGGAACGAAATGACCAGGGTGGATCCAGGGTCACAAGGATTGGTGATCAGGTGTCTGCGCTTCCCAAGATCCCTTTGAATGGGAGGCTTCGGGTTGCCTGCGAGCTGGTTGCTCAGCACCTGGGAGGTCTGGACAGCTCCCAGGATCCGCCTGGTCACACGCTGGCCGTCTCTCAGACAATGCCTTTTAATAGCAAACCTCGGGGGGAAAGGGAACCAAACGCTTCTTCGTTCTTTGCCAGCCCCTTAGGGTAACTCCGGGTGCCATTGTGAATGGCTCAGACTCCCCCATCGATCAGAAGGAGCTAGATTGCATTTATGTATTTATTTGGGGGTGATATTGTTGTCACTATCTCTACGGTGTCTTCCTGGTATAGAGAGATTCGATATCAGTGCCGCTGGTGGGTATTTTCAAATGTTAATTATTATGTATTTTTAAAAAAAATCTGCAAGCCGGAATATTAAAATATAAGCCCTATGCACCTTATCCAAAACCCTGTGTTTTCTCCCCTGTTTGCAAACCATGCATGCATTGCACCAGTATTTAGATATATTTTTGTTCTGAATTTATCGCGCAACTGGCGTACAGAATAAAGGAAAGGAAAAAGACTGTTTAGAAAGGTTACAAGGAGATGCCAGCTGTACAAGACAAGGAAACTGCATTAAGCTTTATAACATCGAATGTGACTCTTCCAAAAGTCGCTATATATTTTTAAGCATGTTGCCAATCGACAGCTGCCTTGAAGACAAGTTAAGCTTCTGGGAGTGGAGTAGTTCTGAGATCTCCTTTGCCCCTCACTCCAAAAAAGTACTCAGAGAGTGCTCTGGCTGAAAGAATGGGGTCTCGTGTATATATATTTAGCATGAGTATTTCAAGTAAACTAGTAAACATGACAGAGTCAACATTTAATATTTATTAATTGTCGTCTTAGGACGCTTGTTAATTACACTTTTGAATCAAATCACAACTGACTGCTGCTCTTAACGTCAAATGAGTATACTGGTGCATTTCACAGAAGATATCAGCTCTGGTGGAAATTTCCACTGTGAGTAATACTTAAAACATCCAATTGAATACGAGTTTAGATTCTGGAAAAAGTATTTTACTTTCTTTTTTTTTTATACTGATGCATGCAGTTTATTTATTTACTTTTTTAACTTCTCTAGCTTGTAAGCAGCCCTCCCGCCCCCCGCCCCCCCCGCCCCGTCTGGTAAGTTTCTCGGAATCTCTGGTTGGTTTGCTTACACCGTCACATTCTTGGTTTCACTTTTTAAAAAGTAGTACCAGAGAGATTTAAGGGAAAATACAGAATAGGATGCCATTCCTAACCCTTCAGAATCTGCCTTACGATGCTGTCTAAAATGTCGAATAACTTTGGGACGTCTGTAAAAGCAAGAGACGTTGTGTAAATGATTGTAGCAAAAGAGGACTGCTTTTTAAAAAATTACATCACTGTAAGAAACTGGTTTTCTGTTGCATTTCATTTGACATAAATATTTATTCATCTTAATTAAACGGAACAGAAACACAAAAAAACACTTCTGGTGTCCGACAGACATTTTCACCTTGGCTACAAGTTTGTTTGTTTGTTTTTTGTAAAACTTTTTTTAAACATTTATCAGAAATTCTCTTCCTCCCTTTTATTTAAAAATGCTGGTGTGTTTAAAGGTGATGTAGGCAGGGTTAGAAATATTTTAACAGTGTCTCCTGGTTGAAAGAATGCGTGACAATTGGAATAAATAATAATGAAACAAATTAGAGCAATGCACCAAGAAATATACCGGGATGTATCAGTCGGGCTCTTGGTATCATGGGTTTACACGGATGTATTCGTTACACAAATTTTTCCCTCCCTCCCCTAAAAATGCATCACATAAAGAACTAAAGTAAAGAGTTCTCGTCGTAGGAAAAATAGCCAACTAAAATATATAGCATAGTGAATGCTCTCTTCACACCACCTTTATCATTTGCATATTTGCATTGTTTTTTGCTCCCACCCACGCATAACGAAAAATTTTTGCCCTTTCATAGAAATCTTGTTTGTTTTTCCCTCTTTTTTTTTTTTTTTTTTTAAGTTTTTAAAACAGGTAAAAAACATCATGACGCACAATTTGGAAAGCATGTCACTTGTGGTACGAGGGTGTTCAAAAAAGCTGAAGTCACTGATTGTTAACAATGAAGGGAAGGCAAACATTCAGTTCCCTTCAAATCAAAAAGTGCACCTTTATTAACCTCAACACGTTGCTTGGTCCATGGTCTAATATTCCATATGAATTCTTTTGTGTTTTACTTTTCTAGTTCAGAGCCTACTTGCATAGATATATATAGATATATATATTTATCTTCTGTTTGCCTCTTTATTGCTTCTAAAAGTTCTTACTGCATCGAAATGCTGATTTGAAGAGGCAAACATTATGTGTTTCTTCATTACACTTCCATGGGATCTTTTATTTAATCCTCGGAAAGAATATAGAATTCCCCTGGTCTGAGATAACCCCTTCTACAAGCATCCTGATAAATAAAATTTAAAAAAAAAAACCCAACGAGCTGGCATTGTTTAAAATTTACTTTGATGTGTTGCCAAACAATATACTTTACTTTTGAGGGGAGGGAAAATTGCTTTATTTCTCCATTCCTCCCCCCTTTTTTTACTGTCCACATTATGATTTTTTTTAAAATAGTGGTACGGGCTTTCTAATTTTCCAATTTTTTCTCCCTAAAACTCTCTTTCCATGTGGCCAGAATGGACACTTGTTCCAACCGACTGCAAACCCGAAGGCTAGCTTTTGTAACAATAATATTTGTACATTTTCTATATATATATATATTGCACCAAAGTAAATTTTCTTGTCCGTGTATACTCTGTCCTGGTCTGCTATCCTTGGGGGACAAGTAAAGGGGGATACTAGTTCACATACAGCCGTGAGTTGAGCAAATTCTAGCTTTCTGTGTGTGTGTGTTACAGGGAGACACCTAACAATTGTACGTTCACAGTTTTGGGGCGGAGGAGACATTTAAAACCTAGAGCAGAATGGAAGTGGGTTTCTGGGGGGGGGGCGGGGTTGCTATGTGCAGTCGGGGGGGGTGGATTTCCAGTGGTCACAAGGGGGTTAATTATGGAAAAACGCATTGAGCTCTTCGTACATCGGGCCTCTGTCATGGTGCAGGTGCATGTCATAAGGCAGGATGTTCTCGGAGTGCACCCCCCCGCGCACCCCAGAGGAGCCAAACACCAGGTTGTGGCCGGCCGGCCGGGAGCTTGGCAGGGCAGAGTAATGCATAGAATAGTGGTAGTTTTTCTCGTGGTCCGGGGAAGAGTCTTGCTTGAGGGAAAAGTTGCCATTAATGCACAGGGGGGGGCTGAGGGGGGCGTCGTACTCCGAGCTATTGTAGTCTGGGGAGGCGTTCCCATAGAGGCTCTCGTAGGTGGCGCAGTAGGCGTGTGTCCGCAGGGCGTGGGAGCTGGCCATGGTGCTGGACTGGCAGTGGGTGCCGGAGAGCCGGGGGCACTGGTAGGTGTAAGGGTGCAGGGCAAAGGAAGAATTGGGGCCGTGGTACCTGGCGGCCTCCTGGCCTTGCTCCGTGAGGAAGTTCCGGGAGTTGAGCTGGAGGCAGCCGGCCACCAGGTTGGTGGTGGGCTGGGACAAGCCCTTGCAGAGAGTCTGCACGTAGCTGACCAGGTCGGGCCGCTTGCCCGAGCGCAGGATCTCGGAGAGCGCCCAGATGTAGTTCTTGGCCAGCCGCAGCGTCTCGATTTTGGAGAGTTTCTGGGTCTTGGAGTAGCAGGGCACCACCTTGCGCAGGTTGTCCAGCGCCGCGTTCAGGTCGTGCATGCGGTTCCGCTCCCGCGCGTTGGCCTTCTGGCGCCGCAGCTTGGAGCGCTCCAGCCGGGCCTTGGTCATCTTCCTCTTCTTCGGGCCGCGCTTCTTGGGCCGGTCCCCTTCGGCCTCCTCCGCGCCTTCCTCCTCCTCCTCCTCCTCCTCCTCCTCGTCCCCGCCTAGGTCCCCTTCCTCTTTGTTTTCGCCCAAGGAGCCTTCCCTCTGCTCCTCCTGCAGCGGGCAGCTTTTCCCTTTCCGCTCCTCCTTGTCGCTCCGCTCATCCTCCTCGCACTCCTCCGCCCAGCTGGGGAATTTCTGCACGTCGGGGAGCAGGCTGGGCTCGCTGAACAGCCTCGTCAACATGATGGCTGGAGCGGGGAAACGGGGGAGGAGGGAGAGGAAACATTTTAGCCAGGCTCCTTCCCAACCCGCCCCCCCCCCCCGCCCCCAGCTCATTGTCTCGGCTGCGTCCCGCCCCGGCGGCGATTCCGTCCCCTGACCCCTGGCTCGGCTGCATGAAGCGGGGGCTCAGCAGCATCTCAGCCCCTGACCCGTGGAGGGGAGGGGGGGTGATTGGCCAGCGATTCGATTTTTTTTTTTGCCGGTGGAGAGTGGGGACAGGACGCGATTTGCATTGGTGCTTCCCCAGGCGCCGAACCGGAGGGCAGAGGGGTGCAGTTGGCCATGGAGACGAAGCAGGGGGGCGGGGAAGGATGTTCGTTTGATGGCCATTCTGCCCTTGACTTTCCGCCCTGCAGTCAGCTGGTGAGAAACCCTCCCCACGCGGAACACACACAGAGAGATGGAAACCCAGCGTGTGCTGGGAGGGTGGAGAAATTGCCATCGGAAGGACTGAGATACCGCTCCAGATCCCTCGTCAAAACGATCCAATCGTTTCGAAGTGTGATTACAATTAACTGGCTTCCCCATCGCCTTGCGACGGATCCCGGGAAAGGGCGTCTCGTTTGGCTGATCGATTTGGGTTCACAATTCATTCTGAACTCCCGGTTATTTAAAAAAAAATTAAATTACTTTTTATTTTTATTTCCCGCCGTCTTTATTCCGTCCCGTTTGGCTCAGGGCTGGGATTTAAATGCTAGGAAACCAATTTCACCCCATTCGCGTCTCTCTCCCCCGCCCCACCTTCCCGGCTGATACTTCCTCCCCCTGGGTGTCAATTTCTGCTCCATTCATTGCGGGCCAAGACACTGCGAACACTCTTCAACTTTTCCTTCCGTGTGGGTCAGAACAGACCCGTGTCCCCCCATCCTTCGCCCGTCTTGAAACAGGGATCAGGTCATTCCCATTATTATGAATAACTCTGACCTCCCTCCCTTCTCCCCAGACCGGCCCGATCCGACCCCCGGCACCCCCCCCCCCCGACCCCGGCCCAGCTGTCCAACTTTGCATCCGATCACTGTCCCCTGCCCACGCCCCGTTTTTGCGGGTTCGATCAAGCCCCCTGTATGGGGCGAGACATAATTCACACCCCAGCTGCGGCTCCAGATCAACCCCTCAGAGGCGGCTACTAAAACCAAACCAGCGCAGTTAACGATTTTTTAAAAATAGAGGCATTAAAAAATCCAACTGAAGAATAAAAATGCCCCTTCGAGGCCAGCCCTGCTCCCAGACACGGGAGTGTCTTGCTAAAATTACGGAGTTTGCAGCGGGAGTGTGTTTCCCGCGAGCTGTAACTAGCAAATTCCCTCTGCTTTGCAAGGTTTATCTCGCCGCCAGAATCTTTCGCTCCAGCCAGGCGGCTGAAGGGAGCGATCTCATGTCAATTTGTGTGTCTCTGCGTGTGTGTGTGCGTGTGTGTCTCTGTGTGTGTGTGTGAGTCTGTGTGCGATTTTTTATTTTATTTTTTTAACCAGCAAAAAATTAAAGCCGGAGCCTTCTGATTTTGAAGACACCTCGCCTCCGTCAAAAAATGAAAAAAACCTCCAGCTTCATCTTTGTTCCTACCCGATGTGTGCAGATACACAGAGCTGTCTGGTTCCCGGGTGGGACAACAGATGGAAGATAGTTTATTGGGTGTATTTTCATTTTTGTAGAGCGATGCCCTCTTAAATCGGGGGCATTTCAATGAGGCTCCCCGCCCCCCTCAACCAAAAAGCAGATCGGATCTTTAAAAAAAATAAATAAACCCAGTTCTGGGGGGGGGGGGGGAGAACCCCCCCCACAAGCCCCTGGAAGTTGCTTTTTATCCATTCAAGTTTCCAGCCCCGCACCCCCCCTGCACTTCTTACATAACTTACCTTCAAAGCTAACGGGGGGGATTCTTATTTCCTTGTCCCCAGCATCTTCTGGGACTCGGGCACTGCTCCTTAAGGTGCTCAGCTTTCTTCAGTGCGCTATCCAAAAGGAGGCGAGAGTGGCATCTCGACCAAGCAAAGGGGGTACCGGCTCTGATGCTCATGCCATATGGTTGGCACGTCATCGGCCGGAGCGATCACATGAGAGCCAATGATTGACATGCGCCTGCATTCAGGGAGATTTTTCTCTCTGGGGAAGGAGGAATCGCCATCTGTCACTCTGTAGTCCAAAAGAAAAAAAAAATTTTTTTTTTCCAAATCTACAGATCTGCCCACACGCTGCAAAATGGGACCACGGGCAAGGAAGCAGCGCGGGGGCTGAACAATGGGGTGTAGGGAGCGAGCCGGAGCAACGCCCCCCTGGAATGTGGGGGGCAGGCTCCTGTCGCGGGGAGGCAGGGGGGATGTTGGGGGGGCTAGGGGGCTGCACCGAGGGACCCAGATCTAGCCCGGGCGGTTTGCAGGCTGCAAAAAAATGACAAGCCCCGCTCCCTCCTCAGATCTGCCACCAGCGAACCAGGGGAAGGAGCCCAGGCGGTAGCGGGGGGGGCGGCACGGGGGAGGCTCCCAAATTTATGTCACCCCCACCCCCCGAGGAGGACCCCAGAGCCAGGTGCCAGGGAAGGTTTCTAGCAGAGGACACTCCTTTCTGCTGTATCCAATCCCCACACAAGGTGGAATTGTATCTGGGGAGAGGCTGTGTTATTGATTAGCTTCCCCCCCCCCCACCCCACATACACACTAAGCAGGTTAGAGGGTAGGTAAATGTCTGGGCATTTGCCAATATTGTGCACAAAGACTGCCCCCATTCTCTCTCTCACACACACACACCCTCTGTCACACACACCCCTTCCTATATTTCACACCTCTCTCTCTCTCTCTCTCTCTCACACACACACACACACACACCTTCCCCTGTTACACACACACCCCCTCTCTCTCACACACACCCCTTCCTCTGTCTTTCTCTGCCCCCCCCCCAACACACACACGGCTGAATTAACAATCCAGGAGCGTGGTTCTATTTTTTGGCTCTACCTGTAAAGAGAAGGATAAAAATCAAGCCGCTCCCAGATTTGACCCCGGCTAGGAACAAGCCCCCGACTTTGTGAGGCATAATCACAGGGCCGGGCTTGCCAGCTAGGATGCTCGCTGCTGTCGTGTTTGCAAACTTGCAGTGGGTAATAACAGGGTAATGGCGAGCCCCCATACAGCATAATGGGGCGTCATTACCGCCTTTCTCAACACACCCGCCTCCTTCTCAGCTGAGAAACAGCCACTCATCAAAGGTCCCCAGGTGTCCGCTCCCTTTTCTCCCTCTCTTTAAACCAGAGTGACCTATTCAGCAGCAGCTCCGGGTTATCGATAGAGGCTGAACTCTCCTGAGGGAGGCAGAGCTGGCCGATTCGGACGCCACCTTGGAGCCGAGGTACGGTTAGCCTGGCCTGTCGCAGGCCCCTGTGTAGGCCTTTCCCTGGACAAAGCCTGGGTGGGAAAGCAGGTGAAGCTGAACAAAGCTGATTGTGTGGTTTTACCTCCCCTTCTGCTTCGACAAATGTCTGCTGGGATATGGTTCAAATCTCCCCTTCTGGGCTTCTGTCTTCCACGCGAGATCCCAGGAACTGACCACAGGACGCAATGTCTCCCACGCCCAGCTGGCCGAATGAGGCACCCAGGTGATCAGACGGGCATTTTGTACCCTCTCGCTGAGCAAGTAGTAATAACCTAGGCATGTCCAGGCCCAGCTATGGCCCAGATCTGAGAGTGAGCCAGGCTCCTTGTCAGCCCCACGTAGGCCCAAGGTTTATTATCAACCAACTTCTGTATTCCGGAGAAGGCAGATCTTCAGGTGAAACACGTCCCAAGAGGTGCCGCACCTTCAGGAACTGGCGTGAGAGCTGTTCGGCAGCAGAAGGGATTACGAAACAGGAGCTGGGACCATTGTCTGCCTGGATCCCAGGTGTGTGTGAGTCACAAAGCCAGGGCCAGAGATGCAGGGGCTAGTGTGAATGGACACGTGTGTGCTCACGTACATGCCTACACACATAGAGGTGTACACGCATGTCCATGCATGGAGAAGCGTGCGTGCTCACACGTGGTCACTCACACACGCTCACACGTTTTCCCATGCACGCACACCCGCCCAAGCGAGGCCTGCTCTGTGAACATTGAAAGAGCCGAGAGCCTATTGGCACCTTGAAGATAACCCCCTGCCTCGAGGGGGCTCGGTGGGGCCGGAAGGGACCACGGGAGGTCAGCAAGGGGCCAAGTGAGCCGTCCCTGGTGGGCATTTGTCCAGCTTGTTCTTAAAACCTGCTCACCGACGGGGATCCCACAGCTTCACTGCCCGTATCTCTGCACCAGGCTGTGCAGACCCAGAAGTGCCATGCATTTCGCTGGGGGAAGGCAACCCCCAGATCTCCCCTTCGCCCCACTCCCCGTTTCTCGCCACAGCCCCGGTCGGGGCTCGCCCGCGCCACCTGGCCCCCGGCCTCAGCCCACGCCTCCGTCCGTCTTCCGCTCGCCCTTGGCCGTGGATTTATATATTTATTTTGCCTTCAAGACTGCGCGGTTGCCGAGTGACTGGGAAATGCTCACTCCCCTTCTGCTCTGCTGCTCCCGCGTTGTGGAGATTGAAATTGATTTTCCTCGTCTTAGCATATTAAGATCCAAAGTGTGTCTCTCGACCCGTCTCCCGAGAGCACGAACTGGCATCCACCGCAGAGGGGAGGGAGGTGGCAGCTTGCGAGGGCACCAGACGCAGCAGCATCCAGAGCGTTCGCTCAAGCAGGCTGCCTCTCCGGCGCAGCTCTTGTGCAGGGAGCCGATGCCCCCCATCACGTGAGCGCCCGCAGCACACACGGAGGATGGAGCCAGCGGAGGCTTGTTTACGGAGTCACCTCGCCCATCTAAGAGCCAGGAGGAAAGTCGGGGCCCGACTCCCTTTGCCTCGCACCTTGCGTTGTCATTTAAACTAGGACGGGGGGCGGTGCGGACGCACCCACCTTGGCCGTCTCTCCATCCCCTCCTCCACGAGGGCTCAGAAGAGGTCATGAGCCAAGGTCAGGCCCGTGGGGCAGCCTGAGTCTCCAGCCCAAATATACCAGGGCCAGCTGGCCAGAGGATGGGCAAAGTCATGCAACTTGTATCTTTTCCTCACCAACTGCTATACCAGCCCATCAAACCCCGTTACCGACACGAGTGAATTTAGCCTCGCAAGCCGCCCTGTGTTCCCACCCTCATTTTTCAGAAGGGGAAACTGAGGCACAGATGGGGGAAATGCCTTGCTGAAGGTCATGTAGCGTGTCAGTGGTGGAGCCAGGAGTGGAACCCAGGAGTCCTGCCTCTCCAACCTCACCTTATATCCCTCCTTCCTTCTACAGATGGGAGTTACAGGGGCCTGAGTTCGAGCTCCACCGCTGACTCACTGAGTGACCTTGCGGGGTTCACGCCCTTGTGCCTCAGTTTCCCTTCCCATCCTAGATCTAGTCTGTTTGGACTGTAAGCTCTTTGGGGCAGGGACTGTCGCTCGGTATGAATCTGGACTGTGCCCGGCACAATGGGGCTTCAGTTTTGGCTGCGGCCTATAGACGTCATTGCACTATAAATAATAACAAATGATAAATATTCTGTGGCGCTAAAATGTAGCCACCAAACTAGGCAACGGACAAGGAGCAAGTCCATTGGGGTCTTGGCTATTGCTGTTAGGTTACGCAGCCAGAGGCTACGGTGATGGGCAGCTGTATAAAACTCTGAGAGAGCAACTGAAAGTTACAAAAGACCCGATTCTCAGCAATGCCCAGGCCCCTTAATGCCCACTGTAGGTGCCTTAAAGCGGATATAGATTATAAAGGTAAGAGACCAAGGAAGTCACAGTTCTGGAGCAGACTGGCGGGGGGAGGAAGTGACTTAAAAAGCTCCACCCAAGAAGCAGCTTAGGGACTAAGGAGATGGCATTAAAAACCCCTCAAACTCGGGGGGAAGCCACCAGAAGCTCAAACCGGGAGTCCAGTCAAGTCCACTGACCTGAAAAGGAGCGACTGGGCTTTGCGAGTGGCCTGGGCTCATCAGCATGCACGGCCGCTCCAAGAGAGAAGGAAGCGGAGACATGAAAAAGGAAGAGCGGATGAAAGGAGAGCTGCGAGATGGAAACCAAAACGCGTCTTAATTGTGCTGTGGACTTTCTCTAATGGATAGCTCCCTTTTCCCCCCCCTCCCCCACTTCCTCGTTGGCCCCCTCCCCAAGCCACCCTGGGAGTAGCAGCTGGCAGTTGGCCTGAGATGCAGATGTGGCCAGTGCAAGGTGGCATCAATCCCCCCCTTCTTCCCCCCCAGACACATGGGGCTGATTTTCAGAGGGTTAATTCCTCCACGCCTCCCCCTGCTGCTCCCACTCAAACGTTCAGCAGAATCCAGCTGCTACGTAGACACCTAAACAAGGGGCTGCTTGTCCCCAGGGCTCAAACCCAAGGGTGCTCTTTGGACAAAGCCACACCGTGTCAGTGTGCTCTCCTGGATTGTGTCTCCCAGTCGTCTCGGGGTGTCGGTATTTGCGGGTACCAATGAAGGGAAGGTGGATTCTTCCTCCCTGGCACTGTGGTCCAGGTCTGCATGCCTTCAGAGAATTGCACCCCCACCCCACAGTGTGCCCTCGATTATAGGCAGGTGCCCAAAGTAAGACCAGGTTTTAGACAGCAGGCCTCTCGTTAGCCAGATGCCCAAGCAGCGGCGGGACGCATGAGCCCCATAGCGCATCTCATCTGGGGATGATTCACATTTTCCCTTGTATTACGGTAGCACCCAAAGGCCCCCGTCATGAGCCAGGTGCTGCACCCAGAACAAACAGCTGGTGCCCAGCAGGAAGAATTTACAGTCTAAGGCACCAGGTATATACAACGGGACCTGTGCTGTGTGGAACAGGGTGCCGCATTTTGTCCCCAGTGTTTTAGGAGCCAGGTAATTGCTGGTCCTTTAGCTCCCAGAGCTGGTCTCTGCCCGTACAGCTGCAGATCCCGCCTCAGGCCTTCAGGTGACCCGAGCCAGGGAGTTGCTTTGCGTGTGGCAGACCGGGCCCTTCGTCCTGGACGGCTCAGCTGTTGTCTGCGGCACACAGGTGAACCCCGGGGATGGCTCAGCTGATGTGCAAGCAGCGAGGGCAGGCTGCTCCCAAACCCCACATGTGCCCACTACCTGATACCTGGTGGGTTAGTCAGCTGTCCCAGGGAGGAGGGCTTTCACCCCTCCCCTCCTCACAGGGTGGCTGGCCCCTTTAAGTGAGGCTGGTCCTGCTCCCCAGATGACCAGGCAGGTACACCCAGCTTGGGCCTGATGAGGGCTGGGGCGACAGCGTAGGTAGGGGATCAGAGGAGAAATGCCTGGCAGTAGGAGTGTGGCGGTGTCACGGAGTCCCTGGGCGATGCTCTGGAACTGCTCCCCATGAAGCCAGTCAGGACTCTGGGGCAGTCGCCTTTCTGTGAGCAGCCTGTCTTCAGGACACGCAGCTCACCCGGCTTCCACCTTCCTGGGTCTGACCTCGGAGTATTCAGCATCCTCTGCCCCTCCGTGCGCTTCCCCCCAGCGAGTCCGCTCAGGCGGGGGCTCCTGGGGAAGCCAGAGGGTCCTGCACCCCAACTTCGCAGTCAGACGTGACTCTCAGCCAGCCAGTAAAACAGAAGGTTTATTAGACAACAGGAACATGGTCTAAAACAGAGCTTGCAGGTGCAGAGAACGGGACCCCTCAGCTGGGTCCATTTTGGGGGGCAGTGAGCCAGACAACCACGTCTGCACTTCACTCCATGTCCCAGCCAGCCCCAAACTGAAAACCCCCTCCAGCCCCTCCTCCTCTGGGCTTTGTTCCTTTCCCGGGCCAGGTGGTCACCTGATTCCTTTGTTCTCCAACCCTTCAGCTCTCACCTTGCAGGGGGGGAAGGGCCCAGGCCATCAGTTGCCAGGAAACAGGGTGTCGGCCATTCTCTGTGTCCAGACCCCTGCACACACATGCCCTCTAGGGCACTGCAATGATCATACACCCTTACTCCACCCCCTAGATACTTAAGAACTGCCTAGGGGAAACTGAGGCACTCCCACACTATTCAGAGGAAACATTAAGAACAGTCCCACTTCGTCACATCTCTCCCCCCCTTCGAGATCGAACTGAGCGGGGTCACTTTAGCCGGTGACCTGGGGAAGTTCGAAGCCACCAACGTTCCCATGGATGCCCCAGCATCTCTCCCATTCCTTGGTAGGAGTTACACCAGGCCCTTCCAGTTTCACGCCCTCCCTTAGGTCAGGGGTGGTCGATAGCACTCGCAGGCCGCATGTGGGAAGGTTTATGCAGCCCATGCCCTTTGGCCACCCCAAGAATGTCTCCCCATTGACCATCACCTTCTGCTCCCACTGGAGGTCCGAGGGGCCTGGCCCCAGGAAACTCCACACAGACATATAGGTTGGGGTCAGGAGTGGGAGCCTGTCCACATCCCCAACCATCTGGCTGACGGAGTCTATGGCCTTGGGACCCAGCAAGGGAGCTAGATACCGGGGCTTTTCCGCAGGGTCCCCTTGGTTCAAATCGCCAGCCTGCTCAAAGGCAGTGAGGTGGGCATCCACACCCCCCGCTCCTTAACCAGGGGCAGCAATTTAGTCTCGAGGTTCCCTGCGGAACTGGCCCCCCGGGATCTATCCCCACTCACCCCGGGGAGGTCCCCTAGGCCTCTCCGCTCCCCCACCGCCAGTTCATCCTGCTGCTGCTTCTGCAGCTCTTTCTCGGGCTCTCGCTGTCTCTCACAGTCCTCTTGCTCTCTCAGACTCAGCTCCAATCCCGTCCGTCTCGATCCCCCGATGGGGAACCCGATCGTGAAGACCCTCGTCTGGTCGGGGACAGGAGTCTTGGCGATGCCTGGCTCCCGCTTCAGCTGCTCCCAGATCCTGCTATAGCCCCAGTTGGGGTCAGGAATCTGTTCCTTAGAGCGGTCATCCTCCTCCAGCTGCACGATTAACTCTGCTTTGGTGAACTTTCCAACGCTCAACCCTCTCTTTTTGCACAGGGTTACAATGTCCTTCTTAAGGAGACGGTGACAGGCCATCACTCCGCTCCTCCCAAGTTGTTGTGGACTCACAGGCCTGTGTGTTCTCAGCTCCCCACGGTTTCCAGGGAGAACCCCTAGTATGCCAGCCCTTCTCGAGGTCACCACCTCTTTGCCAGGGTCGAGCTGCAGACTCCTCCGCCCCTTGGACTGCTCGCTGCAATCCCCAGGGGAACCCTGTTACTGCACAGTCCTTCTCGCTGGTCACACACTCCCAGGGGTTAACCGCCCCCCGAAACCGCTCCTCTCTGAGCCATCAGCAGGCCTGGTCCTCGGCAATCCCCCTTCGTGTTACTGCTCCCCAGTCACTTACTGCAGGAAGCA